GATTAAAGTGTTTGAACTAATGACTAACCTCAAAGTAAAGCTTGATAAGAGTTGTGTGATTGGTATTAATATGAGTGAAGGAGAGGTGGAGGAAAGGGCCCGAGCAATAGGTTGTGAGATAGCTCATTGGCCACTGAAGTATTTAGGGCTTCCTTTAGGGGATAATCCTAGAAAAAAGGAGTTTTTGGAATCCGGTGATTGACAGATTCCCTAAAAGGTTAGCTTCTTGGAAGAAGAATTACTTGTCTTTGGGGGGGTAGGATAACCCTGATTAAATCAACATTGGCAAACCTTCTAGTCTATTACTTGTCGGTGTTCAGAATCTCTGAAGGAGTTTGTAGGGAGTTGGAAAAACTAATGAGGGACTTTTTATGGGAACCCGAGGAGGAGAAAAGGGACCATAGAGTTAGGTGGGAGCTAGTTACAAGAGCTAAAAGYGAAGGGGGACTGGGGCTGGGGAACTTGAAGAAGAAGAATGAAGCTCTGTTAGGGAAATGGTTATGGAGATGGTCCAAAGAAAAGGAGAATCTGTGGGCTAAAATAATCCTAAGTATTCATGGGCAAGAGGCTGGGATCCAGGACTATCATCTAGGGCTTCAAGAGCCTCTCCTTGGAAGTCCATTCATGCCATCCTTCAGTCTTTTCTTCCCTTCATTAGGTATGATCTTGGTTCTGGTTTGTCRGTAAATTTTTGGGAACACACTTGGGTGGGGGATTTTCCTTTGAAAGAGCAGTTTCCCTCTTTGTATGCTCTGTCTAGGTTTAAAAATGAACCAGTAGCAACCTTTGCTACCCTATCTAATTCTTTTTATGGTTGGAACTTGGGTCTTAGAAGGGCTCTCAGAGATTCTGAGTTGGAACCTATTCGAATTTGCTTAAAATCTTGGATGAGTTAGCTCTTGAACCTTCCCGTGTGGACTCTAGGGTTTGGTCTCTTGTCCCTTCGGGTATCTTCTCTTGCTCCTCTTTTTTCAAAGCATTGACACACCTAGTCCGGTACTTGGGTCTTCTTTTCCAGTCTGAGAAGGTTAGGGTAGCCCTATCCCTCCTAGGGTAGGTGCTTTTTGCTGGGAAGCAATCCTAGAAAAGTGTAACACTTGTGACATACTTCAAAAGAAAAGGCCTAATTGGTGTTTATCTCCGCATTGGTGCATCTTATGTAAGAAGAATGGTGAAAGCTGTTATCACTTGCTTGTTTCTTGCCCCCTTTTTTTTAGAGATTTGGTGTTGGTTCTTTTCTTTATTTGGTTGTAGGTGGCCCTCCCCTTCAAGCGTGCAAAGCTTGTTCAGTTCCACTCCAGTGAGGGGTTTAAAGAAGAGAGGTAAAATTTTGTGGAGATGTGCTAGAGCTGCTATTTGTTGGACGGTTTGGGAAGAAAGAAATCAAAGATTATCTCATGACAAAGAAAAAAGCAAGGAAGCCCTCATAGAAATTGTTTATGTTAGGGTGGCACACTGGGTCAAGTCTTTGAAGCTTTTTGAAGCCTATTTAGTAGGAGACATCATTAGAAACTGGGAAGAAGTGGCTTGGTCAGCTCCTATGTCTGGTGCTATTAGACCTGTTTGGACTCCACCAGATTTGAGTTTCATCAAATTGAACTTCGATGGTAGCAGTGAAGGTAATCCAGGCCCTTCTGGCATAGGTGGTATTTTTAGGGATGAAGAGGGTCAAATTATTGCTATGTTCTCAGGATCTATAGGCTGGGGGGATTCTCTGAGAGCGGAAATCCTGGCAGTTCTAGAAGGAGTAAAAAGAGCTAAGCAGTTGAATATTAGTAAGCTGCTGGTGGAAGGAGACTCTCAATTGACTGTTAGTTGGTTGCAGAAGGAAGAGTCTAGCCTGTGGAAGTTCTCAAATGAAAGAAAATCAAGCAGCCAACTCAGAATATGATTGTAAGGGTTCAATGGGCCAAGAGGAGCACTAATTCCATGGCTGACACCTTGGTTAAACAGGGGTGGGAAGATCTAATTTCTTTTGGGCTATATTGTAATAGGTGTCTTCAGTTCTGTAAGTGAGGGTTAAGATGTCTTACCCCCTCCAGTTCTGTAAATGAGGGTTAAGATGTCTTACCCCTCCAATTTGGATAGGACATTGATTGGAGATGACCTTGGGTAATGCTCTAGCAACCAAGTTTTCCAAACTATTCTCCCAGGCAAGGTTAAATAAGAATATTTCCAGCTTCGAACACAAAGGGGTTTCCTGAAGGTTGGACCAACTGTAACTGGCTTGCAGCAGAGGTATTAAATTCAGTTCACATTCTTCAATAAAACCATTAAATTTCCTCATGCTTGTTGAAATTACCTGTTGGGGATTACTGGTTTCATCAGAGAATCTAATGACATTAAAATCCCCGCCCAGGCACCAAGGACCATCCCATAGCCCCTTGATTGCATGTAGTTCCTCCCACATCTCATTCCTCTCTCTATAGGAATTAGGGCCATAAACATTGGTTAAGACCCATACACACCCATTCTCTACATTCTTACACTTAATGGAAACTGAGAATCTGCCTATCAATTCTTCCACTACTTCCACCACATCCTCCCTCCATAGTGTTACGATCCCCCCCGAGGCTCCCCAAGAAGGAGACGAGTTCCAACCTAAACCTCTAGATCTCCAAAAACTCCTCACCCATCTCCCATCTAATTCCATCATTTTGGATTCTTGTAACAACACAATATGTCGTTTTTCAACCATATCAAAATAAATCCACCAGAAAAAGGGCACACAACAGCATCTTTTTTTATGGTTTAACACAGTAACATATTCATTTATAAGAAATATCATTCATATATCCTGGTTCCCACGTTCTGTGGATGTGCTGAAATTTAGGCCCTGTTTGGCGGTACTTTGTGCTTTGTACTTTCAATAGCAAAAAAGTACAAAGTACATGGTATACTTTTTTTTTATCAATAACAGTAATTTTATTAAAAAAACAAAACACAGGGGGCTTTCATTCAAGGGTGACAAATAATAGATCAGATCTTAATTGCGAATGAGTGTGGAGGAAATGAAAAGGTCTAGTAAGAGAGGATTCATTTGTAAATTGGATCTTGAAAAGGCCTATGAT